GTTGTTGTTGTTGTTGTTGTTGTTGTCTTAGTCTGTTGCTGTTGTTGTTGCTGCTGTCGGTAATATTAAACGTTTGTTTTTTCCAGGCTTTTTTTTGCCTTGGTTAGTTAACTGATATTTCGTTTATTATTATTTTTTTGTTGCTGTTGAAGAAAGTATTTTTATGCTAGCCTTTAAACTTAGAGCATAAAACTTAAGGTAGCTAAGAGCAATATACCATGATGCATTGTTTGTTGTTTGTGTGTATTTTGGGAGAGGAACAGTTGGGATAAAAGGGATAACTGCTGTACACAAAAATACACACACATACACGTAGAAAACGCCTCTGTTCATGTAGAAGAAAGAAGAAGAGAAAGAAAAAAAAACTTGCTGAATTTCAAAGCATTCTTTTATCGTTGGCATACAAACATCAGATTATAGACTGCTATGACCGCTGTAAGCTAAAAACTTATTTGAGACATACGGTTGCCTGTGCTGTTGTTTTTTGTTGGTACCGTTGTTGAATGTTAGTTATACGCAACTGATAAACTATTGATTTGAGGAGAAGAAATTAAAAAAGACTTAGAAATCTTTTTTCATTCTTATATTTCGTAAACTGTTACTATCTTACTATTTTAAAGATTTGAAGCATTAAAAGCAGCTTTTTTTCAGATGCATAAATTTTATTTTTTATTGTCACTTTTTTCGGGTGTTTGTTTATGTTTCAGTGGATCGTTATCAGAAGAAAAAAAAAGAACTGGAAGAGAACTGACAAAGATGAAATTGTTGCGCATAGGGAAGCGATCAGGAAAGTAAAGTTGTCGAAATCCACTTTTTTTGTGTTTTTGTGCGTTTGTTCTAACAGAAGACAAAAATAAATTTTACTCACCTACACAAAACAGTTTTTTTTACTCTCTGTGTGTTTCAATTCATTCACAACTTTTTATCTGTGTAAGCAATTTTTTTCTGTAATTAACAACATTCTATACATTACAGCTAAAAACATATCTAAATTGTAATTTCGAGAATAAAAGCAAAAAAAGACAAGTAATACTGTTTTTTTTTAACCATCACACTTTTTTTTTGCGTTTGTGTGTGTATGTATTTCTGTTTTCCAAACCTAATTTTTTAAAACTTTTCTTTGGTATCATTCGATGAAAAATAATTTTAGTTCTACTTTTTTTGCTTCCCTCATTTATTTACTTCACAATATATCGACATTGAAGAGACTGGAAATCTCCACTTTCACACGTCTACCAGTGCTGTCGACACTTTGTTGAACTATTGGAAAAACCATGTTAAACGTCTGAGATAAAGCGGTTATTGTTGTCTGCTGTCGTTGTTGGAATCGTACCGATTTGTGGGAACAACAATGAAGTTTGTACACTTAGGAAACAGAAGGCTAGGGGTGGAAGACAAAGAGGGGGGCGAGAAGATGGCCAACAGAAGGCTGTAGGTAAGGCTGGAAGAAGGGCAGATGAAGACGGAAGTAAATTGTATGCTGATTATAAGATATTGTTGGAATTTTATAACTAGATATATTTTGGGTTCAGAGTGGTTATCGCTGTTGTAATTTTATAATACCAAAAGCCAAAAAAATAAAAGCTAAAAAAAAAAGAAACAATGAGGAAGTTATTAGATTAGACACAGTTGACGAATATTTTGTTTATTGCAGACAGTTATTGAGTAGCTCATAGAGTAATGTAAAAAAATTGTTTCGACAGCAAATTTCGTTTTTATAAAAGCTTTTTTTTTTGTTTTTTCTAAAACTGAAATTAAACACTGTCGGTACCTGTTTATAGGGTGATTATAACTGTACTTAACGTTTAATCATTGCCGATTCTCTGGATCGATGGATCATTGGCAAAAAGGTAATGGTGATCAACTGCAGTTACTCTGTCATTAATACAGTCTGTTCGTCGCAAAATGTTAATTATTATGTTTTAACAACAAATTTTTAAGTTTTAAAAGAGAAATTGTTCATAACTAAATTTGATGTTGTCATAGATAATTTAATGAAAAAAAAAAGCAAAAAAACATACTTTATTAGTCTCTGAAATTTTTGCATTATAATTTGTCGACGAAAAAAGCTCTGTGCATACTACAGGTAATTGAAGGTGACAATGACAGACATAGAAGGACCTTTATTTTGCAGACATTAGGCAAGGAACATTGATAAGGGCAAATTTACACGAATCTGCTACAAACTGTTATTGTTATTTGTTCAACAGTTGCTCTACTTAATTGTTCAATGAAGTGTGAATATATTTTTTAAACCGGAGAAGGAAAAAGTTGATTCAATTTTGATATATGAAGAAAAAAGTAAAAATTTTTACTATTGTTTTCTGTTTTAATACAGATTACAGTAAATAATTTAATAAAATTTCAAACAGATATTCTTTCAAAATAAGATGAATTAGCAACAAATTTGGACAACAATAAACGATAATTGCATAGTTTACAAATTTTATTTCATTGTTTTTGTTTAATTATTTCTTCACTTATTTGATGTTCTGCCCATTGCTTAGTTAGCAGAAAAAAGTTCTTTACACCAAAAAAAAAAAACAAATCTTTTTTTTCTCTTTTATGACTCAAATTTAAAAAAATTTTTTTTTTTTCATACTGTTATAATCAAAAAGTTTTTTTTTCTTTTTTCTGAGACGATGGATAACAGTGAGAAGCAAAATGATGTGGGTGGAAAGGTTGGATAAACAGCATTTCGTCTTTTCACCTCCTGGAAAAAAAGAAGACTTCGGTTACTATCATCTCAAAAAGAAAAAGTGAACGAAAAACACTGTATTAACAGTAGTTTTGTGTGTATTAAGAAAAAAACACCACTTTTTCTGAACAAAAAAAAAAATAAAAAATTATTCCAGCACATTTGATTGATATTTAGACCGAAAGCAGATGTTTATTGCTCAACAGATTCGATAAACACAAATATTTTCAAGGTTCTCGTCTTATTCTGTGTGTGAAGTTATTGGTATCTTTTTGATTGTTACTGTTGTTGCTATGACTTCAGCCAGGGAAAGCAAACGATACTGAAACAAAAAGTTTACTAATGCAGTAAATTTGTCTCGCTCTGCTTCTGTTCATTCCTTCTACATTAAAGTTGTTAAAGACAAAAAAATTTTTCAATTTTGCACAGTCATGGCCTATTTTTATCCTCTTTCCCTTTTCAACAATTCGTCTTTCCTTTGTTTTCTCCGTTACCCAAAATGTCTTCATCACTGATCTGTTGAAAGTGAAGAGTTTCAGGACTACGTCAACAACAGTAACAACAGTAGCTAGGAATATGATAATATAGACCGCTAATTCAATGCCAACAAGACATAAAACTATACAGGAATAATAGCAGAGCATTGTTCAAATCATAATTCATTTCCCAAACTGTAAAAAAATTTGTATGATTTAGTCGGTAGCCTATTTGGTCCTGCAAAGACACCATAATCGAATACTGGATAATACAAATATGGCGAAATTAATTGCTGCAGCTACCCAAGAATTGTAAGCATTTTGATGATAAAGATCCTCTGCAATATTTGGATACTAAATAACAAAAACCATTCATTATTTTTGTCGGTTTTCAGTGCCACTATTGAACGAACATTTTGTTACCATTAAGTATTTGTACAACAATAGAATACTAAAAAGTTGTAAAAATATTGCCACAGTACAGCAGCTTACTGCTCTTGTGTTTTCTAAGAAACAGTTCAAATCATTACTACTATTACTTGTGTTCGTTTTAAACCTCTAAATACAACTGACAATACCTTAATGAACAACCAAGTTTAATTAACCAAACTATACGCTTAAACTGTTAGCGAGTCGATAAGAAATTCTTCCAAATAGTTTTTTGTCTCTTTTAAAGCAGCAAAATTTAAGCAAAAAACTACTTCAAAAACAGACCAAAAACCGATAAGTTGCCATACAACTCAGTTATCCGTAATCTTCGTAGCTCACTTTACAATTTTCTCCTCTTAAAATTTTTCGTCTATCCCAATGTTTTTGCAAAACTAAATGCCCCGTGTTCAAGTGTTCAAATTATTTAGAAAGTCAATTTTTATCACTAGTAAATCAAGAATTTTTGACAGTAAACAAATTGACCGTTTGGATGATCTTTTTTTTAGTAGTCAAGTACTGTGACTGGGAAACTACTTGAACTGCTTGTACAAAAAAATATTTTTGACAGGTTTTGGGATAATACATATAACAATCAGAAATATGCTGGTTCTTAAATTAATTTCTTGTTCATTCCCAACTTCTATCTGGTGGACCTTCCTGACATTTCACTTATCCGTAATATTTTACAGAAATTTACAAATAAAAGAAGTTATTAAAAAAGAAAGAAAAAACTTCAGTCTGTCACCGAATATTTATCGAAAAAAAATCTTACTTATATCATTTATTCTTACATCCCACGGCGCTGATTTATTTGTTTCTTTAGGTATATCTTCCAACAGTCCAACGCTTTCATTATAAAATAAACCACCAACAACAAGCTGTAAATAGATAAGTAACAAAAGCGGTCTATAACAAATTCAACAGTAAAAACTTTTAACAAGCTCAAGGTATTTCTAGCTATACCATTTTGCTAAGAAGTTGTTTGCCATCTTTGAAAGTGTCAATGATTTTAATTTAAAATGAAATATAACTTTACTGAGCGTAACACTTGCACAGTGAATAATGGTTGCAGTTGAACAAACAATAGCTTCCAACTTGAAAATTTGTTTAAGTCCTTAGTTGAAGTGTCAAAACAATGATGCCCTGCGTTTTCTGCATTTAAGAACACTGTCGGTCAATTAAATAGCGTTTTGAAACTTTACATAACTTACATCGTCGCTAACTCACTCCGATTTTCAATAATTTTGAGCAATTAAAAAAAAATACAACATTAGTCAAGAGCTGAAAACATGTTTCAGAATACTCTTAATTCAGTTTAAAACGTAAAATTTATTATTGAAGCACCGTCGTGCAGAGAATTCTGCAACAGTTTGGTCACTGTTTATCATTTTTTTGCCTCTTCTTCAACGTTTGTCATCCTTTAAATTCTAAGAAATTTTCCTGTGCTGAAGTCAAAGATCACATCAATGGTAAAACAGAATAACAAAGACTGGAAAAAAAGGATAAAACTTAGAGCATACCAGGAATAGTGTTCCCCAAAGTGAGATGAACAAAAGAAACCCGGAACACTTTGGACCGCAAACCATAATTGACTGATTGGTTGACAAATGTCACAAGCACAAAACCAGTGGGCTTTTATCACAGTCAGTGGCCCATCATAAGCACAATAATCAACAAGTACAAATAGTATACTCAACATTGGTCTTCTAGTTGCCCTGATTATCAGTTTCTCCTTAAGAAACGAACTTTTGAACTTGTTAAGTAAACTGGTTGAATTCCGTACCAATAAACTGCAAAAAATGTTCTCAGATAACAAATATTGCAGTTGTTTACTCTCATTGATCATTTTAGTGGTTCACCAAACTAATTCCGTGTATTGTATAATGTATATCGATAAAATATTTTATTATATAAAGGCAAAAATATATTAGCATTTTCATGAGGACCAACATATACAATTTGAAGACGTTATTGGTATTGCATATTTTACAGAAACTTCATTGTAATAAAATGAAACATAAAAACAAAACAAGTTGGGCATTTGAATGTCTGTAAAGGAAAAAAAAGAAAAGAGAACGAGAAATGCAGAAATATTCTTTACATTTAATATTGTACTGATGATTAAAAACAGAAAAAATTGTTGATACAGAACTTTGCTTACGAAAATGAAAAATAAAATGAAAAAAGATGAAAGCTTTTGTTTTTTTTTTTAAACGGTTAGCACCCGGGCATTCTAAAAGCAAAAAGAGCCAAAAAGTGTGAGTACAAAATAAATCAACTTAAGTCTCAGCCAGTGTTCCTACATAATATGTCTATGTTAATCATATCATCATAAACGCTTAGCTCCATCTTCGTCATACACTTGCTGCTTTAGCAACTGCAATCTAGTTTTTGTAATTGCATCGCTATTACCCAAATCACCCAAATTTGCATTCACCTTTGACCACTGTTAAGCATATATTGGCAGGCAGAAGAGAAGAAGATGAAGAAACGAGAGGCAAAGAAAACCTGAATTGAAAAAAAGTTTATAATAGCAAGATATACGAAAA